TTTGATAAAATGTTAGTTAAATGAGGTTTTGTAATTAACCACCCATTAATTTCACATTATTATTTCACACTAATTTTCTCATTATTATTCATGAATTAATAAAAATTAGTTAAATTTGTTATAATTGATGAAATTTTAGTTAAATTTTATTTTAGTATAGAATGATAACATGTAAGTATAGTATGAAAAACATTACTTGTAAGTATAACACGTTATCCTATAAGTATAGCATAAAACTCTGTAAGTATAGCATGTTATTCTGTAAGTTTAACACGTTATTTTGTAAGTATAACATGTTATTTTGTAAGTATAGCACGTTATCCTGTAAGTATAGCACGTGCTATACTTACTGGTTAACGTGTTATACTTACAGGATAATGTGTTATACTTACAGGATAACATGTTATACTTAAAGGATAATGTGTCATACTTACAAAATAACGTGTTATACTTACAGGTTAACGTGTTATACTTACTGGTTAACATGTTATACTTATAGGCTAACGTGCTATACTTACTGGTTAATGTACTATACTTACAGGATAACGTGTTATACTTACAGGATAATGTGTTATACTTACAGGATAACATATTATACTTACAGGTTAAAGTGTTATAGTTACAGGATAACGTGCTATACTTACAATATAATGTGATATACTTACAGGATAACGTGCTATACTTATAGGATAACATGTAATACTTACAAAATAACGTGTTATACTTACAGATAATGTGCTATACTTATAGTATAATGTGCTATACTTACAGGATAACGTGCTATACTTACAGGATAACGTGCTATACTTATAGGTTAACGTTCTATACTTACTGGTTAATGTGCTATACTTACAGGATAACGTGCTATACTTACAGGATAATGTGTTATACTTACAGGATAACGTGTTATACTTACAAGTTAAAGTATTATAGTTACAGGATAATGTGCTATACTTACAGTATAATGTGACATACTTACAGGATAACGTGTTATACTTACAAGATAACGTATTATACTTACAGGTTAACGTGCTATACTTACTAGTTAATGTGTTATACTTACTGGTTAACATGTTATATTTACAGGATAACGTGCTATACTTACTGGATAATGTGCTATACTTATAGGATAATGTGTTATACTTATAGGTTAAAGTGTTATACTTACAGGATAACATGCTATATATATTTACAGTATAACATGATATACTGATAGGATAATGTGCTATACTTACAGATTAACGTGCTATTCTTACTGGTTAACGTGCTATACTTATAGGATAACATGTTATACTTATAGGATAATGTGCTATAGTTACAGGATAACGTGCTATACTTATAGGTTAAAGTGTTATACTTATAGGATAACATGCTATACTTACAGTATAACGTGATATACTTATAGGTTAACGTGCTATACTTACTGGTTAACGTGCTATACTTACACGCTAACGTGTTATACTTACTGGATAAAGTGTTATACTTACAGGATAACATGCTATACTTACAGGATAGCGTGCTATACTTACAGGATAGCGTGCTATACTTACAGGATAACGTGTTATACTTATAGGAAAACATATTATACTTATAATATAATGTGTTATACTTATAAGTTAACGTGCTTATTACCAGAGACAGAGAGACAAACAAACAGAGCCTGGTACATAAGGGAAAAATACGTAGATAAGGTTGAATAAGTTGTTATTTGTGCTCTTGTTCGTTATCTCTAACGTTGAAAAATCATTCGGCAACGATGGAAGGCTTCAGTCGGATGCACATGCATGCTGCGGTCATTGTAATTCTGCAAAATACTCGCTATAATTTCTCATGCTAATATTCGAATGGCAGTGTTGTGCCTGCATTGATCACATCCATCAGAAGACAACCACTAGTAGAAAAATGAGCAACCTACACGGAAATCACATCCATCAGAAGACAACCACTAGTAGAAAAATGAGCAACCTAGACGGAAATTTCTGTCTAGGTTGCTCTAAGTTCCGTCTAGATTGGTTTATCTAGACGGAAATCCGTCTAGTTTGCTCCGTCTAGAATATTTTAGTCTAGATTGACGCAAACTAGACGGAATTCCGTCTAGGTTGCCAATCTAGACGGAAAGCAATCTAGACGGTTACGTAATTTCCGTCTAGATTGGCAACCTAGACGAAAAACCGTCTAGATTGCCAACCTAGACGGAATTCCGTCTAGGTTGGCAATCTAGACGGTTTTTCGTCTAGGTTGCCAATCTAGACGGAAATTACGTAACCGTCTAGATTGCTTTCCGTCTAGATTGGCAACCTAGACGGAATTCCGTCTAGTTTGCGTCAATCTAGACTAAAATATTCTAGACGGAGCAAACTAGACGGATTTCCGTCTAGATAAACCAATCTAGACGGAACTTAGAGCAACCTAGACAGAAATTTCCGTCTAGGTTGCTCATTTTTCTACTAGTGGTTGTCTTCTGATGGATGTGATTTCCGTGTAGGTTGCTCATTTTTCTACTAGTGGTTGTCTTCTGATGGATGTGATCAATGCAGGCACAACACTGCCATTCGAATATTAGCATGAGAAATTATAGCGAGTATTTTGCAGAATTACAATGACCGCAGCATGCATGTGCATCCGACTGAAGCCTTCCATCGTTGCCGAATGATTTTTCAACGTTAGAGATAACGAACAAGAGCACAAATAACAACTTATTCAACCTTATCTACGTATTTTTCCCTTATGTACCAGGCTCTGTTTGTTTGTCTCTCTGTCTCTGGTAATAAGCACGTTAACTTATAAGTATAACACATTATATTATAAGTATAATATGTTTTCCTATAAGTATAACACGTTATCCTGTAAGTATAGCACGCTATCCTGTAAGTATAGCACGCTATCCTGTAAGTATAGCATGTTATCCTGTAAGTATAACACTTTATCCAGTAAGTATAACACGTTAGCGTGTAAGTATAGCACGTTAACCAGTAAGTATAGCACGTTAACCTATAAGTATATCACGTTATACTGTAAGTATAGCATGTTATCCTATAAGTATAACACTTTAACCTATAAGTATAGCACGTTATCCTGTAACTATAGCACATTATCCTATAAGTATAACATGTTATCCTATAAGTATAGCACGTTAACCAGTAAGAATAGCACGTTAATCTGTAAGTATAGCACATTATCCTATCAGTATATCATGTTATACTGTAAATATATATAGCATGTTATCCTGTAAGTATAACACTTTAACCTATAAGTATAACACATTATCCTATAAGTATAGCACATTATCCAGTAAGTATAGCACGTTATCCTGTAAATATAACATGTTAACCAGTAAGTATA